TGTATCGGGCCTCAGTAAACAGTCTCTTCTCAATGTCCAAGACTGTTTTTTATTTCTCTTTTTTTCTTGTTGCAGGATAAAAAAACCTTAAAAATAAACTAACTTATATCAGATTAAGTAAAGGAAAGATGCCTGCAAATTGAGTTTGGCTCCTAGTGGACATAGTCATGCATTTCTCTAGGCAAAGAACTAACCAGGCCTGACCCCACTCATCTTCCAAGTCTATATAAGGTCAGCCATGAATTGCCAGAGGTCAGACTGCTTATTTTACCACAAGAATGAAACTTTTAAGTCAACACAGAAAAAAAGAAAACAGAGATTACCCTACATCCATTTTTCTAATGCATGGACTAGCACAGTGGAGACTGTGCCAGGTGCAGGGTTTTAACCTGCTTTGAAATATTCATACAGAAAGGTTTTAGAATTTATTTTCAAAATGTATTTCATTCTTAAATTTGAAGGGGAAAGAAAATCTGGCCTTCCCTTTGTTATTAAATTTAAAAGAGAAACAAAGAACCAACATAAAAAGAGAAATAAAGCCAAGGGAAAAATTAATATGATCTGGTGAATTATCTTTTTTCTTCATTTGGAAAGGAGTATGCTTGTTTTCTTTGTCTTTCAGGTACAGTTTCTTCAGTAGTTCAAATGTCTGAACTTACTGACTGGGTGACTGATCAATTGATTTTCAGGCCACTCTATTCGGAACTGACTCAGAACAGCTTACATACCTGTATTTAAATAGTGTTAAAAACTACAAAGTCTAAAACACAAATAATAGCATAATACAAAGTACAATGCCAGAGATAAATAACATTCTACATTAATTAAACTCCACGCTAATGGAGGAAGTAGGTCACAACTTTCTACCTCCAAAGCCTTCTGAAAACACAACAGGATATGGACCATCTGGATCTCAGGGGAAATTATATTCCCAAAAAAGGGGGTAGCAATTGAAAAGACCCCACCAAGCTTTCTTCTGCCATTGCATTTGAACAACTTATTGCTAAGCTGTAATTCTATTCCTACTACATATCAATACAGTAAAGCAGAATTCCAGCATTCCAACATATGACATCAGATTCATATAAAATGTAATCTTAGTTAAATTTGTTTCATGTCAGTGTCCACATTATGGAAATACTACTCATTTTCTAGAAATACAGTGAAGTTGAGCTTATTGTTACCCCAAGAAGAACCTTTTGCTCTTTGTATATCACTGCAGTCCATCGCAGACATTTAACCATCATTTATCATGGGATCTATTGCTGCTTATAGAAAACCTACCACACATCAGTACCTACAGGCTATGTAAACACAAACACAGGAACTAGAGCCAGCAACAAACCCAGATCCCAAGTGTGTCTCCAAAATAGTGGCAATAATATCAACCGCAAGTGCAACAATTAATTCAGCTGGATCATCTTCCAAAGTGATCTATACCTATCGTCTACTAGCCAACCCTTTTACTGTCCTTTTGCATACTATATAGGAAAACAAATAATCCTGACACAAAAGAATAAATATCTGCAAATATAACAGCAGAAAGGAAATAATCAGCAGGAGAATATTTAATATTATAAAGTCAGTCTGTTACTGACCTTAAGGTAGCTATCTTGGAACAAAAAATATTTCAAGGATGAAGCTACTGAACTGCATCTTATCAACTTATCAATTCTATAAACTTGAGTCTGACTAGGACACATATAATAGTTTCTGTTCCACTATAAGAGCGACATCAATTACTGCTACACATGGTCATTTTGCATATGCTTAAGGTCTATTAAAATTATTAGAAATTTTACTTTTGTATTTCAGAGCATTTCATTCAATTTTACACTTGTTTCCTTTGCTCCACATGTATCTGACAAATAAGAATAATGTGTCCAATGAATATCTAGTCCATGAATGGTATAATAAAATTTAAGGCACCAAAATTCTCATTCTGCTAATAAACTTTTAAAAAAGATGACTTATCAGTAGTGGTAAACTGTTTTTTGTCCAAAATTTCTTGAAGAGTTATACTCCTTATGGTGCAGCAACAAGTCTGTCGATTTGGTGGCCTTGTCCTATGCATTTAAAGCAGGTACCTCTTCACTCTACTACATAGTACCCCCGGCATTAGTTTAAATCCTATTCTAAAATCTAGCCAGCAGATCAACTGTTCACTGGGCTTGTGGTATATACAGTAAAGGAGACAATTCTCTTGCTTTACTATATAGGACTTGTTTTGAGTATGACTCTCTGACTCCCCAGAATGGAATAGTCCTCAAAAAAAGTGTCCAGGGACTGGAGTGAAAGGAACTTTATTTGAAATAAAAAATCTGGAATATCACATCCATAGCTAATAATGTTTTTTAACAGAAGGATTATATGACTGCAGATCAGCTCAGTCAGTTAATATAAATCAGTACTATAACACCAAAAATAAGTTAATTGAGGTGATATTAATATTAATAACATTAATAAAGATTTGGATAGATCCCTAGTACCTAGATAAACAGGCGGAATATATCATTGTTAATGATAAACACTGCTGTTAGTTATAACAAACTGCCAGGGTAAATTATTTAAGAAACGTGGTAAGGACAAAATGTATTTACCAAAAATAGTGCCTCTCAAGCTGAAGTGCCTAGCTGAAGTATTGGTTGACACTGTATTTTTGAACTAATTCTCATCACATGATTACCAATGATATTTAAATGCACTACAATGTTATAGTTTGAATTAGCAGTTTGGAGTTATATTTATCAGCAATTATAACGCCAGTTTCTTGTGTTGCCCCAACCAAGTATTTGAACTGTCTGCAAAATATATCCTGCAGAATTCATATCAAAGAAATGAGCAAAACAAATTCTTGTGTAAAGCGGCCCCATCCCTGAACAATGTAGACGCAACCTGACTATGTACTTTCTCAAAACCAGAAATTGAAAGGGGAAAAAAACCCACTGAAGCAGACCTATGACTGCTTTAGTACCAAAATTTAACAACAAATGTAAATAATAATCAGAAGTTCATTAACTACTTTTGTAAACTAGACATTTGGTGGGAAGGTTCATGCCCACAGTCACCTTATTGGCTTTATGCCTAAGGCGGGATTAGAACTCACAGTCTTCCAGTTTCTAGATGATGCCTTAATCACTACAACTGGCTCTTCAGCAAAGTTATACTTAGTGAAAGGAACCGAGAAACAATAAGCAATTGCCACTGGAAGGATTCTGTTCCCATCTATGTACTCCTTTCAGAATATTCTTATCTAGTTTAGAACATACTTCCATGATACTTTTCTTTCTTAACATTATGTTAACTCAAAATAATATATTGCATTCCCTCTCCATCAATCAAATATTGATGCATGATCTGGAAAAAGATCTGGTCTGATACCAGCTGGCAACATCTCTTTTGTAATAATATGCTCTTCATTTCCTCCTACAGTTACTTTAATTATTTTTAAAATTCAATTTTTACAGCTTCTACATCCATGAATAAACTTTACCACTGTCTTGTCTCTGCATATACAAAATTGATTTGTTAAATTGTAAAATAAAATAACTGACCCAATGCTTAAATTAAGTACATACAAGTTTATTTTGAAAATGATTCCACTTTTGATTTGTTATAGTTCTACCTTTTTTTTAACTGCAAAGAAATATTAAAAACAGTGTGTGCGCATATGTGTGTACAATACACATGTGTGTATGGCAAAACTATTGAATTTTGCACCAAATATTCACAGAAGAGAAAAATATTAATGTCAAATGTTTATGTAATTTATTTTAAGACAAGTGCTGCTATTTTTCTTCATTACAATCATAATTGAGGTTCAGTCAAGTGCATTTCTTAATCACATTAACATGATAAAATTTGTTCAAACCCATTTAAACCTGAGATTCATATAGATTCACCACAATCTAGAAGTATTTTCTGTCCAAACTATTTATTTATTGATTTGCAAGATTTCTTTTAAATAATTGCTATTTAGAGACACTTATAATGAAAGCTGGGAAATCAGTGCTAACTAGTGAGAAAAAAATTCTGAAAATATAATTGCTACATGTGATATACTGGTTAAGGTTGGACTGACACCAGGAAGACCCAGGTTCTAGTTCACCCCAGTCACAAAAGTTCACTGGGTGACTTCAGGGCACTAACTCTCTCCTGTATGAAGGGTAGGATATCTAATACATAAATAAAATGCACTGGAGTTTTATCCTTAATTAACTTTAGGAATATGAAATAATTATAAATATAAATAGCCAACAGAACTGGGTTATTCCTGCAACTTAATCCTAGGGGAAAAAATTCAGAGTGTACAACAACTCAGAACTGCTCTATATTTACCATTATAGTAATAACTTGTAGTGCAATGTTTTGCATCCACATTTAGTATGCCTCACTGAGTTCACTGAGCTTGCTCCTAGATGAGTACAGAATTAGAACCCTGGGCTAATCTATGCCATTTTTCAACATTTTTGTTTTAGAAGATTCTAATAATAATTCTATGAGTAGAAAGAGAGAGAAAAAGTCACTTTCCATAGCCATGAGCAAAACCACTATAATCTTATATATATATCAGCAGGACTAATGATAGAGTATAATCTAAAACTTACTTGCAACCACAGACTCACTAGATAGCTTTAGGCAAGCTACTATCTCTCAATGGCTGCAATATGGGATACACAATATTCACCTACTCTAAAATATTGTTGTGTAAACTACTAAAGCAAAATATGTAAAGTGATTTGAAAGTGCTACACAACTGCTATACATTGTTACTATGTGAAGTTTTTGCAAGGAAGCTTCAATGTCTTTTCTTCCTGAACTCTGTGTATCAAAAATACTCAAAAGTAAATAAAAAACCCATAAAATAATAAAAGAAGCCATCTGGATACGAAAATGAGGAAGGGGTGATGAATCCACTTTTGTTCAATGTAGCCATTCCACCACCACCTTAGGTATTCTAGAGAAAAAGTTTATTTTGTTATTTTTGTTAGCATTCTTACCTAGAGAGCATGCCCAGAGGTGTAACATTAAGTGATCCCATCAGCATTGCCAAGGCCATCCCTGGGGCCTCACGTTCTATTACTTCTTTAGTAGCCTGTAATCAAAGATTAAACAGTAGACTGAGTGAAAACTACAAAAATAAAGTAAAATTAAATATAAAGCTAAGTAAAATTTAAATCACCATTCCTTTCCTAAAATCAATCCAACATGGGATTTGAATGTGAATCAATCTGGGTATAAAATCATTGTATACTTATCTCACTAAAATTAGCTTATGCCTACATCACATTCTGCCACAATTTCTGAAATTGGCTCTCTATCAAAATGACACCTTTCAGTCCCTGATCACAACAGTTTTGCATCCTATAAGTATTAAATATGATTTGCATATACTTTTGCCTGTTCCTATAGATTTCTCCTGGAAATCCAAATACATTGAACAGCTCAGAAAATTATTAGAAGGGAATGACTCATATGGCCCTTCAAAATAGAGATGACTGATTAAGCATCTTCTCCTGAAGGAATATGCATATTTTTTGTCTCTTTCTGATGATGAATGATATAATAGATCTCTTTCCAATTGGAAGGCATTTGTATGCTGAGGCAATCTTTGAGATTAAAATGATAGCCAATTTTCAATTATATTATGCTCTACTTTAAGAAAGAAAAACCTAATTTAAAATGAAAGTTGAATGTAATATAAATATATTTAAATAAAGTATACAATTATGTTCTTAAAACTGAATCCCTGACCTTCAATCAAATGTAAAACTCAATATAAAATACATGGTTGGCTCTTACAGTATGAGCTGAGGAGAGGAGAAATAAAATTAGACAATTGCATCAGGTTAGGCAGAAGGAAGCAGGGGTGTCTTAAGTGATCTGACCAATCATATTGCCTGGTCTTAAAACATAGTCAGGAAATTCCTTCCCATGTAGTAGATCTATTCTGAACCACCCTAGTTTTACTGCTAGCTTCAGGTTCCTTTGCCCTGGCTTTCATGACTATCTACTGATCATTACAAATGTTGCCTCTTGCACAAAGAAAAGTCTAATTTATGCAATGAAATAATCTATGCAGAACCAGACAGTCTAAAGTGTAGCTTAATTTTCCCTCTGTTTCTGCCAGGGTTACTAGAGAACTTATAAAGGAAAGGAAATCTGAAATTCAGGTAAGTGGAAAAATATACCTGCTACCATGTATCATAAAAATTAGTATTATGAATCAAGGACAAACAGCTAATTGAAAACATTTGTTGATGACATAACAACTAAAATTTAGCGTATGGGCCTCATCACCCATTTTTAGCTATTCTCCTATATACCTCAGTCCCATATACTAAAATCCACATCATTTATGTCCCTAAAGTTCAGAGAAGCTTTAACAAGAATGCAATAAGGTGATATGGCATAAGTAGCCTTTAAATTAGGCAATTCTGATTCCAACCCTAACCTTTTTTTCTTCCCAAGTGGCAGTATTCCCCACTCCTTTCTTCTTTTACTACTTCTGCAATCACTAGGTAGAGACAGGATCTTAGCAATTAGAATGGTGCAAGAGGACCATGTTACTTAGATTCTATTTACTTAGATTCTATTTTATGAAATATAACACAAACAATTTCTCTGGATTCTAGATGCTGACTTTTTTTTTTCTGCAAGCTTCCTCATTATTCCATCTCTGCAGATATAAGAATACCACTTCAGAATTATAAGAACTGGACCAACATTGCTTGGTCTAATTATTGACAAATATATGAATCACTTTAATGACAATGATTGAACTTATGAACTTAATAAAATACTGTATGTCTACATTTTTATCAGAGATACCAGTTATATAATGAAGAATAGAATAAATTAATGAGAAAAACTGAGTCTTAGAATAACAGATATTAGACCACAATAAATCTACAAAATTCAGAGGAGATTATTTGCCACGAATGATCAAACTAGATTCACTCCACTATAGTTTTTTTTTCAAATTAAAGAAACCATGGGGATCCAGCATTAGGATAAATCTCTCCCTACGCCTCACTTTCCCAAATTATATCTTTGAAGTTGCTGTTTATTTTTGAGGGAAATTTATAGATCCCAAATATTTTCTGCACAGAAAATAGGAAAGGGGTTGTGTGACACTAGGCTGAAACTGACAATTGTGGCCATAACTTAAAAAATGAGCTGGATACATACACAGAGCTGGACACATATACAGAGAGGACAAAACCCAGACACTTGTCAAAAGATGCCTTCAGAAACTGATAAGAAGGAACCAAGTGGTTAAGAGTCAGAAGATAAACAAAAGAAATGCCATCAGAACAAATCAATGAAACAAAGACTTTTAGGGATAACAAGGGGTCCTGGGGCACACCAGTTATTTGAGTTGTTGTAGGTTCCATTGTTCTAGCTAGTGCTTGGCCAACCTAGTTAAGTAGGATTTAGGTAAGTGGGGTGTGAATAATAATAACAAAGATGAGAGCTATGCCAGAGGTTCAACCATACTGGGCAAGTCTCATCAGAAGAGCCAGACAAAGAGCGTCTCTCCCATTAACAATATGGTGAGACGTAATTTACAGAAACCTATACCGGACTGGTTGTTACCCAGGTCAACAAAGACCATGTTAGGTGTTCTAGTTCCTGGACATCTGGTGACAAGTGGGCTACAGGACTCAGGACTGTTGGCTGGGCAACCAGGACCAGCAACTGCAGGACTACTGAAAGAAGAGTTGTTTACCCATTGCAAATATACGAAGACTGAAAACAAAGAAATAATGATCTGCTATGACAAATCAAGTCCAACAAGAAGAGGACACTTGAAAAGAATGCGCTAGTTCTAGAAAGAACAATATCCAGAATCAGAAATAACAGAACAAATAGCAGATCAACATCGATTTATAATACGAAATGAAGTATTCACAGAAATAGAATTGGAAGAAGTGCAAAGGTCTACCCAGGGCAAAGAAATCAAAGTCTTGCCATAAGTAGCTCAGACTATAGATGCAAATCAGGGGGAGTTGGCAGTAAAGGAAGCCAGCATACCTACTGAATCATTTTCATTCCCAAACCAGGAACTGCCTCCTCCTCAGAAAGAACAAAGCTCTCTAACTAAAGAACAAGTTGAACTGAAACAAAGAATAACTGAGCATCTAGAACAGCACAAAAAGAACAGAATAAGGTTGCATGCATTGAAACTTGTTATAAAGAAAAAGCTGGCACAAGTATTAAACACTGCCAGTACTGTAATATCAAATAGAAGCACCAGCTCACTGCAAGAAACAAACCAACGAATGTATACCATGGCTGCAGTTATAACTGAATACCTTGGATGCAAAATCAACACGCTAGAAAAGAAGCCAAACATTGCATCACCAAAATGAAAGGTCAGATTGGAAAATAAAATCAGCATGCTAAGACCAGATGCAAGCAAGCTAGAACAGATGAAAGAAAAGAAGCTGAAGA